TATGAGACCCCTGAGAATCTGAAGGAGGTTCTTGATATATTATATTAGCCTGAGGATTTTTGACATATCGGAGATGAAACGTGACCGCAGTATAACCAAGCACTCAACACAATTGGCATTTAGGCTGTCAATTACCACTCCTATCGCCACCACAATTCCAGCCGCCGCCACCACCGCGCGACTGACCGAACTGGCCATTGTTCTGGCCGGAGTTGCGACTACTACCACGAGACTGGTAGCCTCGTCCGCGTTCCTGCCCTCCACGCTGCGCCATAAAGGCTGCTGGCGAGCCACCGCCTGGACCACCACTCGTCATAAATTCCTCCGCACCAAGAAGATCGGTGAGCTCCTGGAGCGTGATGGGCTGGCCACAAACATTGAGGGAGGATGCGCGACCCCGGAACTCAGGCCGTAACCCTCGAAGGACGTAAAGATTCTACTCCTCGAGAGATGTAGGCCGACCGGCGAGGGTAAGTTCTTCAACCAAAACTCTTGCTTTTCCGATGTAATCGACAATGGACGCATCACCCTGGTGAAGCGACTGCAGCTGGCCGAGTAGGTTTAAGCCGCGAGAGCGAGATGACGACGCGAGGGAACCGACGATGGCAATCCAAACCGCCCAGCTAGTGTGATGACCGATGGCCAACGGTATCACCTCATCGGATAATGATGACATAAGCATGGACATAAGGGCCTGATCCTGTTGAATCCAAGCTCGATGCGCGGGATTGGGTTGCGCCGGCGTACCGTCTTCACCGCCGAAAAGCAAAGCCGTCGGACATGGGTTCGTACCATCAATGAACCCCATTAATCATGACCATTAAGAAAATGAACAACCTGGGCTCTTCAAAACATGATGTTCTTGTAGGTCAGTTTGATACTGATAAAGTGGTGAGCGGTCGATGTGATCGAAGAGATACCAATATTAGAAACGGCCCATTCTGAAGATTCAACAGATCCGTCAGCTATTGGAAAGAAACCCTAAATTAACTGATACCAGATGAGAACTGATAGAATTATATTCAGTAATGTAATTACAAATGTACAGATTACAGTTATATATAAAGAGAGAGTCTCAGTGGCTCTGCTATCCAATTTTATTTTATACACACAATAGGTTCATTATAGCAACACTAAAGTATCATTTTAATTCCACAAATGTACAGATTACATGTATATATAAAGAGAGAGTCTCAGTGGCTCAGCTATCCAGTTTTATTTTATACACACAATAGGTTCATTATAGCAACACTAAAGTATCATTTTAATTTCATTACAGGTTCACACAATATATATTAGTTCCATTACAATCTTCATGAGTTCTGCTATTTAGTTTCATTTTATGCATATAATATGTTCATTATAATTATACTACAAGTTCCTTATTTGACAATATACATATATGTACGAGTTGTGCTATCTAGTTTTATTTTATACACACAATAGATTTATTATTGCAACCCTAAAGTATCATTTTTTTTTTAAATACTATTGACTCTGTTACAATGTAGTATATGTTCTATACTTTCTCTAACTAGTGCAATTCAAAGAGAGTCAATACCCCACCATCGGAGTTTGATCATGTGACCTTCAATTTCCTCAAAGAAATCCATAGAGGTGCCATCTGAACACAAGGTGATTGACAATATCATTTTAATTATACTACAATTTCATTTTACAATATACATATTTGTAAGGTATACTTCAAGTTAAATCCCACACCTTGAGCCTCGGATTCATGTATTGGACAGGCATTTGGTCCCTAGACTAGTTATTGACCTAATTGGCCAACCAATAACCCCATCACCTACAAAAATTGTTCTTAAGATAAATTAATCTCCTAATTAAAATCCAAACAACTCAATCAGCACCTTGTTGGCCATCCATATACAATGTTTCTACAATCTACTGCAAAGTGAGGAGACAAGCATAACTGTTCTAGAAAAAGATTGATTTGGTTGAGATTGATGTCATGATGCAATTTTTTGTTTCTTTTCAATTGCTTTGGTTAAAAATTGTCACCATTCATGTACCCAAAAAAAAAAAAAAAAAACAATTCTGAGTTCCTCACTTTAGTCAACATTCATGTCCTGAGCTTTCATAGATACCCAACAATGCAATGTAAATAGAAATCAGCTGTCAAGACAAGTATCCAAGTGGCCTGGACAATTCCAGACACCAACCAATTCAATTAACCTCATCTCATAAAAAAGGCAAAACGACAATAATGTATGATTTGATTAATTGGGTGTATGTTTCTTCAATTTTGTGCTGTCAATCACATTCACACTCTAATCATGCATCAACGTCCTCACCACTACTACTGCTTTCTTATTTTTCACACCACAATTATTCTCACAACCGTTGCGTTTACGGTACCTTTAAGTTGCATCACAATATTTAGTGTCCTTGCTTTTTTCTCGACAAAAATATGATTTGTTACGTTTCTCACCGCCCAAAGCTTTTTTATTGGAACAAACTAGAAGCTATACTGTTAATATTCTACGGTTGTGAGGCAATCCCAACCCAATTAGTCGAATATAGCAAATTTTACTGTGGACTGTGGTCCACGTAGCGCTATGGACCAAGCATCTATATCAGGGACGGTTTTTGGCCTATGCATAGTACCTAACAGCACATACAGACATACAGTCGTTATATCGTGGACCGCGGTGCATAATCGATTATGCACCGCGCATCAAAACGGCACCGTTTCTTTAAGTAAAGAAACGACGCGCAGTTAGTGTTTACGGAGTGACACTACAGTGTATCTAAATCGATACTGCCTCATGTATTATTTTTATATTATCAAATGAAACTGCAGTTATATCAAAATGATACTATAGTTGTGGTGAAATGAAATTGCAGTATATATAAAATGAAATTGAATAACATTTCACATATTTGAGTGTATATTGTACAATGAAGCTGTAATTATATCGAAATGATCATGTAGTTGTGTTTTAATGAAACTATAGTGTATATAAAATAAAAATTAAATAACATTTTCACATATTTGAGTGTATAAATATTGAATGAAACTGTAGTTATATTGAAATGAAACTGTAGTTGTGTTGAACTGAAACTGCAGTGTATACAAAATAAAACTGAAGAACAGAGTTATTTTTTGCGGAACGATGCAAAACAGATTCCGTTTCTTTTCATTAAATAAAACGACGTCGTTTTGATGCACGGTGCATAATTGATTATGCACCGCGATGCACGATATAATTTGCCCAGCACATAGCCTCAATTTTAGAGGATTTTATATCTATTTTTTACCTAGTTGCTTAAGAAATTTTTAAAAAAATGTAATTAAGCCCATTAGTCTTTCTATCTTGCCTAAAACTCATCAGTTTTATTCCCCAAATCACGCACCACCACTGAAGAAGGAAAGATTCTTCCTTCCTCCACTAATTTTAGAACTTTTCCCCAAATCACACTGAAGAAGGAAATATTCTTCCTTCCTCCACTAATTTTAGAACTTTTCCCCAAATTTCTTTGATTACCAAAGTTGCAATTCAACTTTTACTTATCTCTCCTAATTAATTGAGCATGATTATGGAAAAATCGTTCAAAATCTTTGACACAATCTTTATATTGGAAATAGAAATTAATATTAATATATAAATAAAATTATATATTTTACGGTATTGATTTTAAAGATTGCGCTTATACTTTTGGTAGAGCCTCATTTATTTACAAAAAAAAAAAAAAAAAAAAAGGGGACCACAAAAATTTAAAAGACGGCTCTGATCTATATGGTGCCATTTGAAGCAATTCCATGAGGAAAAACAATTATTGTTGCCATTAACTCTTGCAGACCAAAAATTGCTACACACATAGTATACACCCTGCAGTTTCATTTGACAAACACCATAGTATCATTTTAATGTACTACACTACAATTTCAATTAACACTATACCCAACAATATGTGACATCACCTACTCAGTTTCATTCTATACACCCTCCAATTTCATTAAACAAATACTATATTATTATTTTAACTACACTACAATTTCACTTGAAATTATACTCATAATGAATAAATTAAAGGTACATAATATGTTAACTGCAGACACATAATTTAAATTTCGTTTTGGATCTTGATTCATAGTATAATGGTAATCATAAAATTTCAAGTTTAGTTCTTCATGGGAGTAGTATATAGCTACCATTAAATTAATTGGGTTTCAAAGATTGGGCCAACTGATTTGTAAAAAGTTGATGAACTTGTCAATTGTATAATTTAATAGCTCAAATATTGAATGTATGGCCCATCTTATCAATCATTATTGTGTGGACCATGGTCCATACAAGCTGTGTAAATTATATTTTGTATATTGTAAAATAATGTACATACAGTATAAAAATAATATACATTTAGTACATTAAAAATATACATTATTTTAGTACTAAAAATACATTATTTTGTATAATGTACATTCAGACATTCAGTACATGAATAATATACATTTAGTATATTAAAATGTACTTTTTGTTACGGTCTACACAATAATTTGCCATATAGTTAAATATTATTAAATATTTCTAAATATTTTAAATAATTTGAGTATGCTAAGGGTTCAAATATTTTTTTTTTCATTTAAAATTTTGAATAATTCTAAATTCAAAACTCAAATATCTTTGAATTTAAATTCAAAATGTAATGCATGGATGATATTTTATCTACTATAATCCAATTCAAGTGGAGGGAACAATGGAGAAGAAGTGATTCAAGTATTCAAGTCTGAAGCGTTCAAAGGTTCAAATTTCAAGTTAGTATTCAAGTTTGAAGCATTCAATCAAGTATTTAAAGTCTAAGTAATCCAATTCAAGCATGATAAATTACCTTCATCCTGTACGTCCCAAATAAAATGTCAACATAAAAAAATTGAGTGAGTAAACATATAGGGAGTAAAACACGAGAGCACAAGTAGTATTTTCCAGTTTCAAAAAAAAAAAAAAAAAAGTAGTATTTTCCTAATATAGACAGTATATGAAATATGTAGGTTTCTGATCATTCATCAATTTCATTTTATTTGTCAGTAATATACAGAAATGGCATTCTATCAGCGGAACGCAGTCACAAGGAAGAATCTCCCTATGCAATCTCTCACGTTTGTATAAAGACCGATTCAACATTAAGATTAAGATGCTGAGCGGCAGAGTGGTGGCTGGTTTAAGCCAACCATATAGCTGCAGAAAGATCAAATTCCGCACACTATACAAGCACAGCAATATATGACAGGCTAATAACCAGATTTCGTTCTGCAAACCTTGAACTGAGGAATGGCTGGCTTTGGCTGCATTGCTAGGTTAACCGATTTGCTTCACACCCTTGAATCAGATCAGCAAGTCATTGGTCTAAGCGCAGCAGTATCTGTCATCCCTTATTCCTTTGATTTCCAAATAACGTTCTCAATTTTTTCACACAAGTTCTTGTAGAACTGCAAAAGGAAAATTCAAGATTGCACCGTGAGGCAGTTCTCAGCTTTAAGCAACTCATTAAATATGTAAAATTCATGCAAGCAGTTTGTTTTTTTTATTTTAAGCTAGAACATATGGGTTTATAAGGTCATGGGTTAGACTAGCTAATTGGTTGGATTCAATCTTTTAGCATATGTGCATTATAGCCTAGTTGAGTGACCCTAGCCCAATTTTAGTAGTTTATAAGAGTGTTCAAGTTGACACATCTTTCCATTAGTATAAATGTACAGTTAATACACAAGGGATGATTGAAGAATAAAAATGAAGCAGTAAGCTGACCCTGTGATATTCAAGAGTATCTCCAGCTGCCTTTCGGACATCCACCATGTAAAGAGATGGGGCAACTTGGAAAACCTTTAGAGGGTAAAGAAGAATCGTTAATAAGAAGCACATGGTACCAAAGATGGATAAAAGTACTATGCGCATATTGAACTTCAGAAATACCTCCAAAACAACGGCGAAATTGACCGCCTTGTTTTCAGATACACCTTCAATTCTAGTCTGTGAAAGTATTAATATTGAAGCAAATTACATTGGTATTTAAGAAATAAAATTTTGGAAGAAACAACACCCATACATTTATTATGTATTTGTGTAGATCCTTTGACAAAAACATACTATCAACCTACTGAAGCACAAAGAGTCAATAATGCCTCAACTGAGGCTCAAACTCACAACCTACAAAGAGTCAATAATGCCTCAACTGAGGCTCAAACTCACAACCTTCCATATGGGAGTCCAACCCGGGTGCCATTAGACCACAAGGTCTTGGCAGCATACTATCAATTTAATTGGCTTGATATCAAATTTCCTTCCGCCCCCCCTTATTTTTACCGTTTAAGTTGGAAAATCATAGAGGGGCAGCTCACATTTCAAGCATGTGGTGGTTAACGATAATTATCTGAATGCAAATAGAATTTTAGTAAGTGTACCTTGTAGTTACGCGTATGGACCTTTAGTCCCATTGATTCTGCAGCTGCTTCAATTGTAGATATGATGACATTGGCAGGTTGGCGTGATACAAAACGGGTTTGTCGCTTGACATAATCCTGCAAAAGACATAAGAGTAAATGAGCTGCATTCCGATACAATGATAAGTTTCCGTCATTCTTGAAGGGGGTAAAAACATAAAGCACACAAATGGAATTTAAAGTTACAATTCTAATACACATGTTTTATGGAACATCATGAACCATTTGAGTTACACTGGCCTTTGCACCAAAGTGATAGCATTGAGGTTCAATCGGCTTGAAGCAATAGTGCAATACTTCAACCCAATCATTTTTAAGAGGCAACTAAGTTATAGTTTCTGAAGAGTCCAACAACTACTGTTAAGAGTCTCACATTGATAAAATAAGAGAATATATGGGTTTATAAGGTCATGAGTTAGACTAGCTAACAGGTTGGATTCAATCTTTTAGTATGGTTTGGCCCATGTGCATCATAGCCCAATCTTAGTTTATAACAACTACTAATCAGAACACCTTCATATAAAGACTACCATATCAGAACACCTTCATATAAAGACTACCATAGTTTTGTGACTGTACCTGGCGCCTATCAAACAACGGTGAGAGGTTCAACCCTTGAGACAAAGTAATCATTTCAAAAGCATTCATAACGAAAGGGCCATTGTTGGTGCTTTCAGGCTTTTCAGCTACAAATTCATCCTGCATAATTCAATGAACAAGAGCATTTTTTTTTAAAAGTGAAACTGAATATTGTATTTGAAAAAGAAAAAAGAATAAGATCTTTATCTCTACTTTCATAAAAGACCAATCATTTTAGCCAATAAAAAAGAGCAAAAGAAATAAAATCATACACAATTTGTTTATAGATATAAATATATAGCATTTCCTTATGCCTTTATACTGAAAATATTTTCATGTATAATGACAAAGAAGAAATCTGACCTCAATGTCATCAAAAACAGCACAGACGTCATCCAAACTCACTTTTTCATCTTTTCTACCTTGGATAGGAGTATAATTTTTCTGGAACCATGGATCATTTTTTATCCCTTCAATCTTAATGCGCTGCATAAACAGACTTCAATCACAATAGAATAAATCGAAACTGAAGATAAAACCATACAAGGTACAAGAGCAACATGGCAAAATTATTCAATTTCGATAGCATACAAGAATAATACCTGATTCACAACAACGGAAACTTTCATGTAGTTATTTAATCTTAGGATATTTACCAGAGTCCTTGTTTTAGCATCCTTTAGTTATGTGAGATTGAAAGGTCACAGTACTAAGGAGGAGTTTATTCCTTTAATTTAAACAGCTTCTAATAAAAAACAAGATTGCATGTACACTTACAGTCTCAGGGTTGGGGTCAAGTATTTTCTGTATCAATGATATTGCGCCAGGAGAAAACCAAAATGGACAGACAAACTCTGCTGCGTTTATCTGTGGTGACAGAACAAGTAATGAGGATGTTTTCTGAATGTCTATAAGAGCATCCACATTAGTTGGGGAGAATTGGGGGATAATGTAAGAGTGATTAGGAAAGAGAAGATGGGAGGGGAGAGAAAAAAAAAAGGAAAAACAAAAAGGAAAATTAAATTAAAAAAAAAAAAAAAAATTATGACCCCTGCTGTGCGCTATGGTGACAGCCACGCGTGGCTGTCACCAGTGGTGCATTATTTCACTTTTTGTGGTGGGTCCCACCATTTCTGAATTCTCCCTTCACTTGCAGGAGAATTATTTCTCAAATAACTCTTCCCCACATTAGCTATTATCTTGGGTGGGGAGAATTAATTCTGAAATAACTCCAAATAATCCACAAATGTGGATGCTCTATGAATTATCGAGCATGCAAGAAATAAAATTCCAGAAGTTCATATGCATTAATCTACTTTTACACACATTTTTTAGCAGGAAAAAAAAAATTGACCTTTTGATACAATGTTGGAAGGTCTGGCTCGTTAAAGGGTAGATATCCAGCCATTAAAACATATAGGATGACTCCACATGACCAAACATCAGCAGCAGCTCCGTCATAGCCACGGTGACCTAACACCTGAAGCCATTAGATGGGGATGTGAGAAACCAAAATAAATCATAAATCATATATGGTAATTAAAATGCTTTAGATGGGAATGTGAGGATTCTTTAATCTCAACCACATGGTAAGTATGAAGGAGAAGAGATACAAGGCATTAGATGAACATGGTCTATCAGACTGGTATTCACGTAAAATGACTTGCATAGTTGCATATGTACTCAATCTGTTACATTTAGTCTCAAGAATTCAAACTTGATAGAAAAATCAATATAGACAATGATATATGTCTTTGAAATTCACATACTTCAATTACTTTACTAGTTTCCAATTGTTGAAACCCTAAACCTGTTAGGGTGGCCCATTAGGTTATAGCTTATTCCGGTATAAATAGTTATAACACTACAACAATGAATCTTTTCATTATTCAACATGGTATTATAGCCTAAAATCTAAAATAAATTTTTATTTTTTTCTTTTCCGCCGCCACAGCCACCGGAGAGCTGCTCACTGCCGCGACTTTTTTTCCCGTTCCGACGCTTGCCTAGTGGTTTTTCTCCAAAACCAAGGCCATAAGCCTAACCGGAAATTCGTCGCGAGCCTGAGGCTGAAATCCGGTCGCCGTCTTCCGCTGCACGCGCCACCGCTGTCGCCGAGATCCGCCATTGTTTTCCGGCCAGATCTCCCTCCTCCGATCTCCGATCAAGACGCCGTTGCTACCATTTGATTCTTCTCGAGGATACGCACCTGACTGTGTTTTCAGTTTTTTCCGTCGCCGCCGGCAACCGCCGCCGTCGACCAGTCAGTGTTGTTGTTGTTTTTTTTTTTTTTTTTTTTTTTGTTGGACTTTTGTTGGTTATCACTATGGCATCATCTTTTACCTCTTTTCCCACTATTACCATAGACAAATTAATTGGGAGTGAAAATTATGCATCGTGGACTGCATCTGTGAAACTTTGGTTCGAAGACCAAAGAATGTCTGATCATCTAGACACAAGAGTTGAGAACATTCAAGAAGGAAAGAGAGTAGAATGGGAGAAGGTCGATGCATTATTATGCAATATGTTGTGGCAGTCAATTGATCCAAAACTCCGCAATATCTTCCAGGCTTATGAGACATGTTATGACATCTGGAATAAAGCCAATTCTCTTTACGCAAATGATGTCAAAAGGCTTTATTCTCTTATATCAAATATGCTTAACTTTCGTGGGACTGCTGACATGGGTATACCAGAATTCTTGGGCCGAATCAAAGCTTTACGACAGGAGTATAATAACCTGATGCCGTATGAGAAGACAGCAGAAGATCATGTGAAGCAATGTGATAAGTTTTTTATGGTGTTAACCTTGGCTACGCTTCCTCCTGATTTGGTTCATATTCGAGATCATATTCTAGCTAGTCCTACTGTGCCTACCTTGACTGAAACTGCTGCCAGACTGCTTCGAGTTGCCTCTGCTCGTTCAATTGAACCTATTGGAGGTTAATCAGTACTAGCATCTCGGGCTACAGATAGAGGACCTTCTGGACTATCCGGTGTTGGTGGCACTCGTCGTGACAAACGTCCTCGTTGTGACTACTGCCACAAGGAAGGCCATACCAAAGATCGTTGCTTCAAGTTACATGGTAGACCTCCACGCTCTGTTAACGTGGTACAGGCTACTGGATCTCAGATCCAGATTCATGGTTCGGTTTCTACTCCAATTGAGATGACTCCTATGGAATATGAAGAGTACCTCTTTCACACCTTCTCCAAATGCTAGTACCTCTTCTTTGCTTTGTCTCTCTCACACCAATATTCCAAATTCTTGGATACTGGACTCAGTGCCTCAAATCATACATATTTCTGGTAATCTATCTTTTATGAATAATGTACCTAAGTCTAAGACTTTACCCATGGTGCTAATGGTCATCAAACACTCCTTTGTCATCTTTTCCTTAAAAGCTTGTTTTATATGTTCCTGTGAGTAAAATTATATGTACCCTCAATTGTTCCATAATCCAATTGTTCCATAATCTTTTGTGCTGATTAGGTTGTTGTACAGGATCGCAGTACGGGGAAGGTGATTGGCATTGGGCTTGAGTCACAAGGCCTCTATTACTTGCATGGTGGTGATCTTGCTGCTTGTGCTTCTACAGATTCTCCTTTGTTTATTCATAGTCGTTTGGGCCAACCATCCTAGTCTTTCCAAACTTCGACGGATGGTCCCAGGTTTTTCTATTGAGTCGTTTGAGTGTGAGTCGTGTCATCTTGAAAAGCAATCACGCAAGTCTTTTTCAAGAAGAGTCAATAATCGGGTTATATCCCTCTTTGATTTAGTTTATTCAGATATATGAGGTCCATGTCGTGTCAACTCTACTTTAGATTTTCGTTATTTTGTAACTTTTATTGATGATTATTCAAGGTACACTTTGATTTTCCTTATGAAAGATCGTTCTGAATTATTTCAAAATTTTCAAAATTTGTGCTGAAATACAAACTCAATTTTGTAAACCAAGATTAATCGCCTTAAAGGGCGACTAGTGGCAAAAAGCTACACTCAAACTTTTGGTTTGGATTACACTTGATACTTTTTCTCCTGTAACTAAAATTGCATCAGTGTGATTGCTTTTATCTTTGGCAGCCATAAATCATTGGGACTTACACCAGTTGGATATTAAGAAGCTTTTCTACATGGCGATCTTCATGAGGAGGTTTATATGGAGCAACCATTTGGGTTTGTTGCTTAGGGGGAGTCTGATCTGGTATGTAAACTTCATCGTTCCTTATATGGTTTGAAGCAGTCTCCACAGGCTTGGTTTGAGAGATCTAGCTTTGTGATGTGTGAGTTTGGTATGGCTAGAAGTGAAGTTGATCATTCTATTTTCTATCATCATTCTAATGGGAAATGCATATACCTCGTAGTATATGTGGATAACATGGTTATTACAGGGAGTGATCAAGAGGGTATATCTCAGTTAAAAGAGTATCTCTTCAGGCAATTCCAAACCAAGGATTTGGGCAAGCTGAAATATTTTCTCGGAATTGGAGTGGCCTAGTCTAGTAGTAGTATTGTCATTTCTCAAAGAAAGTATGCCTTGGATGTTTTAGAAGAAACTGGCATGTTAGATTGTAGACCAGTGGATCCAAATGTTAAACTCCTACCAGGAAAGGGGGAGCCATTGCCTGACCGAGAACAATATAGGAGATTAATTGGAAAATTGAATTATCTCACAATCACACGACCAGATATCTCTTTTACAATTAGTGTGTCGAGTCAGTGTCTTAAAAATCCTTGTGATACTCATTGGGATGCTGTTGTTCGGGTTCTAAGGTATATCAAGAGAACACCAAGACAAGGTTTACTATATGAAGGTAGAGGACATGCTTAGGTTGTTGGGTATTTTGATGCAGATTGGGCTAGTTGTCCATTTGACAGGCACTCTACTTCGAGTTATTATGTACTCATCGGTGGTAATCTTATATCTTGAAAAAGTAAGAAGCATGATGTTGTTGCCAGGTCCAGTGCTGAAACTGAACACCGGGTCATGGCTCTTGCCACATGTGAGCTTATGTAGCTAAATCACTTATTACAAGAGTTGCAATGTGGCAATGTTGCTCAAATGACACTGATATGTGACAACCAAGCAACTCTACACATCGCCTCAAATCCAGTTTATCATGAGAAAACTAAACACATCGAGGTTGATTGCCACTTCATTAGGGAGAAAATTGTGTCAGGGTGCATCAAAACCAGCTTTGTCAATTCTGCAGATCAATTAGCTAATATCTTGACAAAATCTCTTAGAGCTCCTAGAGTTGGGTATATTTGTAACAAGCTTGAAGCATATGATTTATACTCTCTAGCTTGAGGGGAGTGTTGAAACCCTAGGCCTATTTGAGTGGACCCATTAGGTTATAGCTTAGTTGATATCTGGACAGCTCTAGACAGACAATACAATGAATCTTTTCATTATTCAACACAAGTCAAACTTTTCCATGTCTAATAATTTGGACACATGAAATCTGTGTAACACAACTCTTAAGGATTTTGATGCCGCAGAGAAAACTGATAACTATCAACATTCATGATACACCATGAAAAGCACAAAAGTTTGATTTCATTCAAGTTATCAGAAGCAGGTCAAGAACCTTGACCAAAGCTGGGTATATAGTGTGGTACTAAGTATGAATTAAAATGAAAGACAACTAAAGGATCTTTTTTCAAGTTTCTTCAAAAACTAAACTGGTTACAAGAACTGGAATTCCACTTTTGGTCCCTCAGTTACCTCGTGAAATTCAACCTTGGTCCCTGTGGATGGGAATGATCTTCCAATTACTGCACATTGGAGAAAATGGCCTAAAACAGGCTAATGAAAGGACCATTATGGCTTGTTTTCAATAAATGAGGGACACTCCTGTCCATGGGAACCAAAAGTGGAGTTTCCACTTACAGTCAAGGAACCAGAAACTGTAATTAGTTCAAAATCAAATGTACCTTAAACTATGCAAATAGTAGTACCAAAAGTGGAGTTTCCACTTTGTACTTCTTAAGAGTCCCACATTTGATAAAATAAGAGAAAATATGGCTTTATAAGGCCATGGATTAGACTAGCTAATTGGTTGGATTCAATAGTGTGGTTTGACCCATGTGCATTATAGTCCAGTTGAGTGACCCTAGCCCAATTTAAGATTATAACAGTACTGATTATTGATTAATTAAGCCAAGTGGGCTGCATGGAAATGTCATGCCAACCACTTATGTATCCACACACACAACAAAAGTGGAGTTTCAACTTATAGTCAAGGAAATGTCATGCCAGACACTTATGTATACACACACACACATCAGTGTTACTTAATGAGTCATGACTGACTAAAGCCTAAATCTACTAATAAATGCTGTCCTAGCAGTATATTGAAATTTTCTCCACCTATAACCTTGACCTTGAGCACCTCAGGAACAGCATGGTTTGGAATCCTAACTAGTGAATGGGCCAACTGGCCAACCAATTTTCAGAAACTTTTGAGATGGTCTTTTATTGGTTTTGTATGATGAAAGTTAAAATGAAAGAAAAATACCTCAGGCGCAACATAGTTTGGAGTTCCACATGTGGTATGAAGTAGGTCAACTCCCTAAAGACGAGTAAATGTTATTTACTTCTGAAGCTGTCTCAAGTGAGGGAAAAAAAGGAGGGGAGAATTCATTTTTCTTACTTGCTTGGGCAATGCACTCAGTCCAAAATCAGAGACTTTCAAGTTGCCATAGGAATCAAGAAGCAGATTTTCTGGCTATTAGTCAAACAAAAAGAAATCAATTATGCTTAAAAACTTATAATAGCCAAGGTTTTCAAAATAGACATGATATCAATAATTGCCTCACACCTTCAGATCACGGTGATAAACACCCTTACTATGGCAATGCGCAACTGCATCTAGAAGTTGTTGGAAGTACAGTCTTGCCTTATCCTCAGGAAGCCTGCCTCGATGAACCTGTCACTCCATTGAAAAAATGATGAAAGATGCATTAGCCATAAAGATATAGTCAAAGACTCAAAGTTTCAGCATTCATTATATTATCCTAAGAAGTTCAGCAAAGGGAAAGTGCTGGAATATCCTTACAATTTCATCAAATAGTTCTCCTCCAGTGACAAATTCCAAAACAATATATAATTTTGTCTGGCTAGATAAAACCTACACCATAAAACAGATAAAAGTGAACATGTGCATACTGAAACAGTGAACAAAATAACATAAGGTTAAAGAAAGTGATATTAATAGTGGTAACTAAGAAACCCTTGCTTTACCTCATGGAGGCGAACAATGCAAGGATGCCTGACAAGCTTCATTATAGATATCTCTTGTTTGATCTGGAAATCACCTCAAGAAAATTAGCAGAGAAAAATCTAATAATTAGACAAATAACTTATTTTATATTCAAACAAATGTAAGCCCCATCACATTCCACCATAGATATTTTGTTTCTTTCAGAATCACAAATTATAGTAACTGTCAAAGCTCTTCTGTTTCCTGAGAGCATAAGACAAATAAATAACACTTCTAATAGAATTGGATATAGATCGTCGCTCCCCAGTTCTATAAACCATGTTGAATACTCAGGATCTCCATTCTTAATGTGAACACAGAACACATCCCCTCCCCCCAGGGGTAAGTTAAAGTGTTCAACATAAAACAAGGGTACTTGAGGTTTTTTCTTAGGTAACTCTTGCATTCTTCCAAAAGGTTAAACCCCAGCCCTAAGGGCCCCCCACACTCCGACCCGACAGAGCATTTGGGAGGATGTAAATCATGGTAACTCAACTGAACATGAACCACAGAGGCTAGACCTTTGCTCACTGCGCACAAGGAACCCCCTCACTTCCCTCACTTTGAGAGGTAGCTCCCACACTGCCGCTGGTGAGACTCGATCCTTGGTCATTCTTCCAAAGTTTCACCTCTATGACCAGTTGAGCTGCCCATGAGGGTTTAGGTAACTCTTGCATGATCATACAAACAGCAGTTCAAGTAACATTTTAATTTAAAAAAGACTAAAAGAGTGATATATTGTACTTTCCATCTAAGTTGGAAGGCATGAGTAAGGAATTTTGAACCAGACTTAAGATTAGCACTCAAGGCTTTTCAGGAAGGAATTGAAAGCTGCAATGTTACACCAACTATAAAGTCAAGAACTTCATGGTTGGCAGTGATTGTAAATACCTGTTCAACCATTTTGTGCTTAAGAATGGTGCTCTTTGCCATGACTTTGATTGCAACACCTTCACCAGTCTCTGAGTTCTGTGCAAACTTAACTTTGGCAAAAGTCCCTTCACCAATGGTTTTGCCAAGTTCATACTTCCCCAACTTTTTCTTCACCCTCTGCATCTCTCAATGCTCATTCCAGAACCAACTATCCAAAACTATTGAAGTGAATTTCTCAGTCTGCCACATAAAAGGCTATGTAAGACAGTAGACACCACCAAAAAAAAAAAAAAAAAAAAAAAAAAAAAAAAAAAAAACAGATTTAGGAGACTATTATAGATGAATTTACTTTTTGTTTAAAATCCCAATTTGCCCTTAATCTTATCATCTTATGTTCTAATAAAATAATTAAGAGTTGCAATTAATTGTAAAGAGAAAGGACATTTTGAGAAACAAAAAAGCTAGTGCACAATGTTTTTTCTGTTGGAAAATTATATGGGACCTCAGGAAGTGGACAACACACAAGAAGCATATACTTTACTAATGGGGTGTTTGGTTGGGAGGAAGGAAATCAAATGTCTAATCGGTTAGAAAAGTTTTGAAGTTTAGAGATTAGAGTTTACAGAATAACTTGAAGGAAAAAAAAAAAACAAAAACAAAAACAAAAGTTTACCAATAAACTGCAGCATTTTGACATAATTTACAACTTACCATTCCTATAATGAACAATTGAACATAAACATAAAAATAATATGGAATTTCGGCCACAGAAAATTAACAGCAATATTTTCACAAGCATAACAGTATTAAATACAAAAGGAATTATGAATTTTAAACAGACAAATACATAACTCTGAATTACACCAACTGAAAAAGAAAAAATAAAGAAAGAATCGTTCACATAAAGAATTTTTTCTTCACTTTCATTTTTGATAAATTCAAATACAATAGGAACAAAATAGAATTAAATAAATTAGCTACGGAAATACAATTTCGTACTTCATTTCGACGATAATTGCAGAATCAATGAACGGAAATACACACCTTACAGGTGTGCGCAGAATACAGGAATATTCCGGCGAGAACTTACCGAAGGAAAGAAGATTCCATCGGAGACTCACCGGATAGTTGAAAAAACAGAAGATTAGATCGCCGAGCTGAGGCAAGTCTGGGCTAATGAGCTGGAGAGATGTACACAAACAAGAGAAATCAAGCATCCATAAATTAATAGTTATATTTTCTTCTCCTAGTTATATTTTCTCAATCAGTAGTCAGTAGCGTAGATTCGTAGGATAAGAGTCCTAAAGCAAAAAAAAAAAAAAAATCGACTTTTACCAACGGTTAATAGCGGCTATATTTTGAGGAGAAGTATTAATTATTATTCCACTATAAAATAATTTATATTTGACTTTGTAGTTTGTACTCTGTATTTGATCGCCATAAGTGTGTTAATATCATGTGGACCATTACCCACGTATCATATATTAAACTGATAAGAATAGATATTACACTTGATCTTAGCCAAAAGGTTTATAAAGGTATTCTGATCCACTTAAGTTATTTGTCTACTCATGTTTAAGTTACTTTCTTTCACAATCTTCTTGTGATTCATCAAATTACGGAAAATAATCTCGTGAGAAAACAAATAGTGCTCGAAAACGTAACTTTCAATTAAGGAATCTTTTACTTTTGAGTTTTGTATTTTTTTTTTTTCAAAGCACTTTTAATAAGATTATAATTTCATCTTAGACAAATTTTAAGTTATTTTTTAATTACAATATCTTTGTGAATTATTCTTGTAATAAAGTCGATAGTACTCACTATATATATACTATGAGACAATATAATGTTAGTGGCATGAAACATAAGTTTTAAGCAATCTTTTTGTTTTTTGTTTCTTACTTCTTAGGTAATATTACCATTGTTACGTGAAATTTAAGTTGATTACCTTTCAAAAAAAAAAAAAAAAAAAAAAAGAGGAGGAGGGTGGGGGGTGGGGGGTTATATTCACTTAAATCCTTCATAAAAAAGTGTTAAAAAGGCTTGTTTACACAGAGAAAGTGTTTTCTGTTTTTTTTTTTTTTGTTTATAAAACTTGTTTATTAACATTATATCAATGTAATTTTGAGTGATTCTTAGATTTTATATTAAAATATTTTTGGATATGTTTGGTTTAAATGAAATAAATATAATTTTTACTTCTAAATAAGTCTAATACATGTAAGATTTTTATATTTGATATCCGAACTAAATTTATATCCGTAAACATAACTAAAATTATATTTGAACCACCTAAAATTTAGTTTAGATAATATTAATATTTTTGAGTTAATATTTAAAATATTTTTGTATATATTTATTTGAATGAAATGTATATGTATATATTACTTTGAAGTTTAATAAATGTGAAATTCTAATATCCGATATCCGGACCAACCTTGTATTACAATATAGCATAACTAAAAATATTCGAACTAATAATCTTTTGAGTTCAATCAAAATCTAAAACTTGGTGTAGAGTTCAAGTTTTAATTGTGATAACATGAATAATGTCTAACTTTAAGTTTAAGAAAATAAGTTATGTTTATACAAGTAAATGCGAGTATAAAATATAGAAGATGGTTGATAAGTAAAAGAAGATGATAACGAATTGAATGTAATACCAAAACTGACAATGTTATAAAGAACAAAGATAATAAAATTTTAAAATATCCATGTACTAAGGACGAAGGTTGTCTCTATTTTGCAAATGAAATAATACCAAAACTGACAATGTCATAAAAATAAAGATAATAAAATTTTAAAATATCAATGTACTAAATAAAATTTTAATAGAGTTTAATAATTTTGTTGCTCTAAGGGTTAAAAATGTAACTTTTTGAAGATTTAGGGTGTATATTGTAATGGTAAAAAGTTAGAGACTAAAATCGCTAGTAAGGAACAATTGAAGGTCTAGAGTTGCATTTTTCCCTAAGATTTAATTATATATTTATGTATACCTTGCATTATTCAATGCTTTTAGATGTTTTAAATTTAACTAGTGTTATACCCGTGCGATGCACGGATAAGACTTATACAGTGATAAGTTAAGTAATTTTAACATTAACATAAGAATATTTATGAAAGTTTACATGTAAAGATAAAAGAATATTTGATACTAAAAGAAGAAGTTATTGAACAGATACTGCATTGTATTAGAGTCAGTAGTATTCAAAAATAAAAATAAAAATTTATTAGTTAGGAATCAATGAAACCAAAAATGCAATGAAAAGTAAGGCATGTAAAGACTTAATTACAGATTATTAAAGACTTCATGGTAAACAACATTTGTAGTTGAAGTATAACTCGTTTCACCTTCATTGCAAGATGAGTATAATTTTAATTAAGATATGTTTTACTCCTTTTTTGAAAAAAACTGTTGTAGATCTACAATTCCATTTCACCTGTTGTTCGTATTGCATTTGTTTCGTCTCTGAAATGTTTACATTGATTGTATATAATGGAAATGTTTAAAAATCTTTTAGTAATATTCAGTTATTCACACTTTAATGCTGAAATCATTTTTTTACTGGTAAGATTGTAGGATGAGGATATTGAGTTGGAACAAAGAGCAATAACATGTGTACTTTGAACAAAGTACCTGCTAGGTCCCTGTACTAAAGTACAGGGATTAAATAATTGATCATTAAGGTATAAAGACTAAATTAAACAAAAAATGACAATACATGGACCAAAACACCAAATATGTATTTTGAAAAAGTACAATATTTAGTACACCCACGGATATCTTAAGAAAAATTTCAATCTTAATATATCTATTTTATACATATATACATCCTGTGTGTGTCTATCCATAATGATTTTTTATTGCATAGCTTTTAATTAATGTTTTTAAAAATGCTTGGCAAAACCAAAGTGAAATAATCTTTATTGTAAAAATACAAAGTGTTATTATATATATTCCCTGAGTAGCATTTAAATGATTCTTGTTCTCATTTGATCTTAGGTTCTTTTCTTAATGGTTCTAACTATATCTCTTCATGGCTATTCTGTTTTACTATTTTAAAAGAGACAGATATCCTACAATAAGACCATGTATTAACATTCCGAGACAATAAGTCCATATATCTTACAAAGAGTTATTGTATTATTGTTAATGGTTTCATTGACATTTTAAGCTTGATGGTCATTCAGATTTAATTCATTGTTTTTATACATTTAATTGTTTGTAAGTTGTTTTAATACAATGTAGATAACCTAAGAGTTATAGAAAGCTATGTGAATAGTGTGCATTAATAACAAAAATAGTGCAGTTGCATTAATAACAAAAATAAATCTAATAAGTGCATGCTACAATCACTATACAAATATTAATTCATGCTATGTGAACAGATGCTATATAATTTGTAATACACAGATCTCTAAATATGTGATCCAAATTTTTATTCCTGCTAAAAATGCCGGACAACTGTGGATGAACCTCAATGGAGATACATCTGCTATATGTGAGAACTTATCACCAATTGGCTCCTCATCATTGAGGTAATTTTGTAGACTAATCCAACGAATCCTCTGATTGCTTTCTAGAACCACCACAATTGAATGACAAATATCTTTTAAACAAATCTTCAAATGTGATTGCTATGAAATATGATTCCTTAACAGCAGCAAAGAGGATCAGGGCTTTTTACAATGTAGTTTAAATAAAGATCACACTCCGAGTAATATTTATAATATTTGTCATGCGGACAGACTTATACAAATGCAACAAACTAACTTTCAACGCCATGAAGTCATTTCTTTGAGAAGATTCATTTATTATTTTTCCACCACTAAATTTGCTTAAACTGAAAACAACAATATCATCCAAAGCAATCACATCTGCAGATTCTATCACATATCCCTCAATGGATGTAAAAGCAAATGATGACGTTACAATCTTCAACCAAATCTTTAAACCACTCAGCTCAGCACACACAGTATAGCACTTTTTCTTGAAATAAGCAAATGAAGCTGTAACAGGCACTGGTTGTTCCATTAGAAGATACAATGTCTGAATGTCATATACAGGGACATGGAGGGTAGCAATTTGGGCTCAAAGGAGTATTAAATCACAGGTATGTACACTACTGGCAATGTACAATTTGCCTACGATATTATTCATTGATAATAGTTAGTCTAACATATTTACATAACCAAGTGAAAAACACAATATAAATAAGAGAAGAATATGGAATTGAATATACCTACATAAGACAATTAAGTATATTATAATACTAAGAAACTAAACCCTATACCACACTACAATTACATAATATTACATAATCAATAATACTAATAATAACACAATGAAATTTTATTTTAAAAAAATGAAATAATCCATATTTCTGTTCAACTTCTCAAAAGTTGTGAACATTCAAAAACCTGGAAAAAAAATGATCAATTAACAAAACAACATAAAAGTAGAATATAAAATACTTGAGAGACTATTAATAAAATAATTTCAAATAAAAGTTTTTTACAACATAGAAGTAGAATACAAAATATTAATGGAACACTATTAAAAATTATTAGGTCAACAGTATAAAAAGGAATATATTTCACAAATTAAGACAAATATTAAAAAATAATTAAAAAAAAAAAACAGAACAACAATGTTCACCATTAACTCTTGCATTCTTTACATTTGATTGCCTCGCTGTCTCTTCGCTGTCGCTGGTATTTCATATGTGCATATGTGCGGAGATATTGCACGGTCTAGAGTGCATAGAGAGGCCATGATGATTGAGCTTTGAAGTTACTGTATTTGTAAACAATTCGTAGAGCGGCTGTAGTCTTTGTACTTCAGATGAATTGTACTGCTAGCTTTGTTTATCATTAGAGGAGGTATTTATAGAATAGGTAATTAAAGCAATTGTGGATACCAAAGAGTCCTAATGATTCCAATGAACGTAATAAATATACAACACTTGGATAACCAAAGGTTGTATATGGAAATTTGAACAGTCGTCAATCAACGTTAAGATCCGATTCAATCGTTTATATATTCTTTAAAAATCGTAAACTGAGCAAATTTTTACTTTCTTAATATATTGGTAAACCATTGAATTGAATGTTATACATTAACTAAACGACTGTGTTTTAAGTGAGCGGAAAAATTTTTCCTATCTTCATTTACTGCTGCTTATTGCTATTTTATATTAGAGGATGGGTTTAGATTAGGGTAGATGTGATCTTGAAAAAGAATCATTATTACTAATCTAGGCAATGTTTTAATTGCCTTAATCGGAATTAGGGTTAAAAATGATCATACCATACCCCACTCAAATTATTAGTAATTAATTGATTACAGTAATTTTAGAGTAGGAGATAGATTCAATAAGCAACTTTAGTAATTTTTTTGTCCAAGAGTTTATTCCTTCCATTTAATTTTCCTGAATTCACAATGAGTCTTAATTTACATTGCTTGGTTATATCGTTCTTTTAAGTTAGGTTTCTTAGTTTTAAAATCATCAGTTTAATTTCGTTAAGTTATTATTATTGGCAATAATAATTTTTTAAATTTCTTTTAAAACCTTTGAAAATCAAACTTTGGATTGTTTCTGTAACATTTCCCTACGGGAAGAAAAATAAATTTTATCTTGTTTAATTGAGGGGGAATTGATTTCAATGGGAAATGAATTCCTCAAATTTGACGAAAATGAATTCTCATATTTTTTTAAGTATTTTATTTTTCACATTTTTGAGAGAAAAGATCTACATCTATACATACAAATACAAATACAATACATACAAATTTAATAAGAGCGAATAAAATTATACCTTAACGGAAACAAAAAGATGTTGGCGTAAATTTTTGTTGAAATGAATGGTTCATATTATTTTGATTTTAATTTTTTTTTTATTTACCATCTATTATATTATTTTTCTTCCCTTAAATAATCATGTATTCCGTTAGTATAAACTTTAGTAATGAAATATTCCGTTAACTATTTATTATTCTTTAACTTATTAATTTCTATAAGAAAGGTCTTAGGTTTGAACATCATCCTAATCAGAGTTGACATAATTGTTAAACATATATTATGAATATGTTAAAAGAATACAATATAAAATTTAACATAAACTTTTATCAAATAATTAGCCTAACTAAATACATAACATTCAAAATTGAGCATTAAAGATTATAAATCAGGAACCTTGAAAATCATTTTTTGGCAAATTTTTAAAAAACAAATTTAAGTTAAGTTTTTTTTTTTTCCGTTTATTTAATCTTCTTTTGATTATTTAGAACAAGACTCAATATTTTAATTATGCTTTTGCATTATTGGAATGATTTAGGTCATTATGGTATTAATATATTTTGTATGTATTTCTATAATGGTACAATTGTACAATAATTTGATTTGCCCTTTTTTCACCAACCAAATGAGATGCTCCTTTTTGCCCTTAATAAATCGTATAAAAACAAACAATTTGATTATGTTACAACTATACATAAGTAACCTAGCTACGTTTACAAAATACATAATTGAGATATATAAATGCATGCGTGGACTTGATAAGGATCACTATCTTTGAATGTCGTCTGCAAATTGTTTTGGTCGGCTCACTAATATATATATATATATATATATATATATATATATATATATATATATATACTAGTTTTTTACGCGCATTGCGCGATTGGGATAATGCCCAATGTTTTTTTTTTTAAATAAGTACTTTAAAGTATATTAAGGCAAGATTATATTGAAATTGTTCATGCATAGATAATTGAAGGTTGAATTTGCGTATTTAAATAGGTAATTCTTCTCCCAAAGGTTGAGTCCCCTACCCCAAGGGCCCCCCACACTCTGACCGAACAGAGCATTGTAGGAAGTTGTAAATCACGGTGACTCAATGGTTCAGCAAACAGGACCAAATGTCGGTGCATTTTTCTTGTAGTGCCATCAAATTCTATATTAGACGTTAATATTATAATTAGACTAACGGTGAATTAACGGTATTTAACGAAAAAGTTAAATGGATAATCATATAATTAAGGATAAATTAGAAAAATTTTAAAAAAAATTAAAACCTGAACAATTTGAACCATTCATTTGATTTAATAATTTGGCGGTCATTTTTTCTACCTAATGTTAATAATTAAATAAATTCGTTGGTCAAATCCGCTAATATAATCCGCGCGCTAACTGCTGATTGTCAAACAAGGACATTGCAAGGTAGTTCTCACTTCAATTTGTTGTGTGATTTGAATACTCTTTTTGTCACAAAATCTCTCAAGTAGTTAATATGGTTGGCTTTATTAATTATATATTTTTTTAATTTTTTCATGGTATTAATAAAATACTTGGTAAATAAATATATAGCATTATTTTGTATTATAACTTTGATATTTAATTAGAAAAATAGTGCAAAAAAAAGATAATAGACAATGTAGTGAATATAATCAATTGATGAATTTGAATGTAAAAATTTTTACATTTGAGAAAAATAAAGACAATATAACTAATGAAAATATTTCTCTTAATTAATTTATTGATAATGAATAATTTTTTTTCACTGAATTAAGACATTGTAAGGACAATGTAGCGAATATAATCAATTAATAAATTTGAATATAAAGAATTTTTATATTGTAGAAAAATAAAGACAATATAACTAATACAATTATTTCTCTTATTTAATTTATTGATAATGAATAATTTTTTTTTGAATAAAGGTATGGTGGACACATAATTCTAAATTAAAGAAATGCATATCTATAATTTTTTGTTGTAGCTACTAAATTATTATTTATATAATTTAATAAGAGTAAAATAGAGTACTAATTATGCCAACTTTAATTTGAGTGGGATGAGGTTCGAACCTAAGACCTTTTTTTTTTTTTTTTTTTTTATTGAAATCAATGAGTAAGTTAACGGTGAACTAACGGCAATTCTTAAAATTTTAACGGAATTAGTAACGGTGTGTGGGTATTTTAAGAAATTTTAGTGTAAAAATTTAAATCTTATCAATCTTTTAATCAATCTGAGCCATTCATTTGATTAAAATCTGTTACCGCCATTTTTTCTACCCATTATAGGCCTAACTCTCTTGGGCTCTTATTAGTATAGTAGATGAAATCAATGAGTAAGTTAACGGTGAACTAACGGCAATTCTTAAAATTTTAACGGAATTAGTAACGGTGTGTGGGTATTTTAGGAAATTTTAGTGTAAAATTTAAATCTTATCAATCTTTTAATCAATCTGAGCCATTCATTTGATTAAAATCTGTGACCGCCATTTTTTCTACCCATTATAGGCCTAACTCTCTTGGGCTCTTATTAGTATAGTAGATTTCTACCCATTATAGGCCTAACTCTCTTGGGCTCTTATTAGTATAGTAGATATATATATACTAGTTAAATTAAAGATTATTAATATAAAAAGTTCAAGATATTGCATTGTTTAGTAACTACTTTTATGCGAATGGTTGCAAATCGGATAATACTCAATGTTTATTTTTAAATAAGTATTTTAAAATATATCAATGCAAGATTATATAGAAAATGTTCATGCATTCTTCTAAAAGGTTGAACCCTAACCCCCTAAGGGCCCCCACATCTCGGCCTGATAGAGCATTTAGGAGGATGTAAATGACGGCCTGATAGAACATTTGGGAGGATGTAAATCATGATAACTCAACTGAACATGAACCACAAGAGGCTAGAACTTTGCTTACTGCACACAAGGAGCCTCCCTCACTTTGAGAGGTTGCGCCGAGTGACCCAGGAAATTTTCATGCATGCATATGTAATTGGATGTTGAATTTGTTTAGAGTAAATTTCAATTTTGGTCCACTGACTATTGCACTTAACTATGCAATTCTTATCAATTTTGGTCACGCTGGTCAAATTGCCGGCCAAATATGACCGAAAAATTTTAAACTTTTTTAAATTTTTTATTTAAAGGAGCAAAATTGTCATTTTATATTAAAAAATAATAAAAAGTTATTTACAGCTTCTTT